ATGTCTCGGAATTCGATTCGGTGTTTGAGGCAGAAGCCCTTTCTTTCTTAGTTTCGTTAAGGTATTGTTATTACATACTTTCTGACATACTGATCTCCTACTTCAGGGGTGACAATATCTGTCGTTACTCGTACATGGTAATCCAAACTCCATTTCACAGGGCGGAATTCCCAGGTCTGCTCGTGGCTGAGTATTGATCCTTAATAAGGCCAACGGCAGGCATTTAATCCAAGACATCTGAGTCTCAACCATTAACTTAGTCAAGGTTTGTTTTCAAGTTTGATTCATTCTTTCTGCTCTTCCAGAACCTTGAGGATGCCATGGGGTGTGCGATGCCCATTCGATCCCTAAGACTTCAGATAGTTGTATAAATTTTAAAGTGAAATGTGTTCCTCTGTCCGAGTCTATTTTTTCTATTAATCCATATCTGGAAATAATGTTTTCCAGTAACACCTTGGGTACCATGCTTGCTGTTGCCCTTGGCGTGGGGATTGCTTCCACCCAATGGGTTAAGTGATCTACTGATACCAACGAACACTTCCACCTTTGTATTTGAGGTAGCTCTGTGAAGTCTACCTGGAGACTTTGAAAAGGCCGTATGGCTGGCTCCCGTCCCCCAGCCACCTTTCCTCTCATTACCTTTTTGTTCACTTTTTGACAAATCAGACATCGATCAACTAGTTGTTTAGCCACCGTGAATGTTCCTATGCACTCGTATTGCCCCTGAATTTCCCGCGATAACATTTTGTTTAACATCTGCCTTCCATCTGGTAAAGTCCATTTTCCTTCTGGATCTTTTTCACCCCCTATTTTAAGTATATCCTTCTCCTCTTGTTCTGTGAAATTTGGGACTAAATTCTCATAATCCCCCGGTGTTACTGCCAATAAAACTACTGCTGATGACTCTGTAGCTGCTTCTCTGGCTGCCCGATCTGCTAAATTATTCCCCCTTATTTCCATTGATACTCCCCTCTGATGTCCCCTCACATAAACAATTGCAGTTTCGGGGGGGGGGAACTTCAGGGCTTCTAAAACTTCTCTGATGAGCTGCTCGTATACTAGCTCCTTCCCTTTTGTATTTATAAGCCCTCTTTCTTCCCATAGTTTTCCAAATGTGTGGACCACTCCAAATGCATACTTTGAGTCCGTGTACGCTGTACCTTCCTTATCTTTCAAATATATCAACGCCTGTTTCGGGGCATAGAGTTCACAGACTTGCGCTGACCACCCAGCAGTTCATTTCCCTTTTTCTAACACTACCACTTTCTGCCATCGATAATTGCATAACCTGATATTCTTTCCCCTTCTAGGCATCGAGAGGACCCATCAATAAATAGTTTTTCCCCACAGGGCAAAGGTTCATCTAACAAATCTTATTTTTGTTTGATTATTACTAAAATCTAAACAGTCATGTTCTGGTTCCTGAACATCCACCCCATATAGAAATTGTGAGGGATTCATGTTTTTATTCGTTACTAATGAGAGATCTATCTGATCCAGCAGCATTGCTTCGTATCTCAACATCCTTGAGTCTGCTAACCACCTTCCACCTTTCTGACTCAACACGCTCCTCACTGAGTGTGGAGTATGCACAATGATAGTACCTCCAAACGTTCATTTTCTACTTTCCTCTACCAAAACTGCCGTGGCAGCTACTGCCTGTATACTACAGGTCGGCCACCCTCGACTCACAGGATCTAACAGTTTTGAGAGATAAGCCACGGGTTTCTTTTGCCCTCCCCAGTCCTGAGCCAACACTCCACGAGCCACTTCATTCTCCGCGTTTAGAAACAAGTAAAATGGTTTGTGTAAAGATGGAAGCTCCAATACCGGAGCTGTAATTAGCTTATTTTTCAGCTCCTCTAATTGTTTCTTTTCTGTCTCCACCCAACAGACCGGCCTTTCTTCTAACAATTTTTCATACAAAAATCTAGTAACACCTTGTGTATCTCCTTCAATCCACAACCTACAATAACCCAAGAGTCCTAGCAATTTTCTAATTTCTCTCTTCGTCCCAGGCAGTGGCAAAGAAACTACTCCCGTAATCCTATCAGGGCTTATTTTACGCTTCCCCTCGCTTATCAAATGTCCCAAATATAGAACCTCTTTTTGAACAAATTGTAGCTTCTTTTTAGACACTCCTAAGCCCTTTTCCCCTAAGCAATTTAATAATTCAATTGACGCTGCTCTCACAGCTCCCTCTGTTGATCCAGATACCGAGAGATCATCTATATATTGTAGGACCTGGATCCCAGGAGGAGCCTGGAACTGTTGCAGTATTTCCTCTAAAGCCTGTCCGAACAAATCTGGAGACTCAGTAAACCCCTGGGATAGCTTAGTCCACCTTAGCTGCTGTTTCCTGCCAGTTTCCAAATCCCCCCATTCGAAGGCAAAAAAGTCCCTCCTTTCCGCAGCTGAGGGGCAGGCCCAAAGTGCATCCGTCAAATCCGTCACACTGAACCGCCCATGATTGTGATGTCTGGCCACGAGTGAGTCACAAAGTTCACCCTGAGTAATTCCTGCCCTGCCGCACCTGAGGGATCTATTCCTGAATATTGTTGAATAGTCAGGGGAAAAAAGGATTCCCATCATCGACTGCATCTCCTCCCATGTATGTATATTGGGTCCCCAAAATTGCTCAACCTCTTCCAACGGCCCCACAGGATCCTCTAATAACTTCTTCATTTCTTTCTTATACACCCTCGCTTCTACATTAGGGAGCAGCACATTCACAAATCCTACCCCCTGTCCCGTGAAACGGTTAAGGCAGAAAACCTGAGTGATAACCAATTCACCACTATCAGTCCGATCGGGTTCAATAGAATAAACTGTTCCGATCTGGATACACTAATAGTGGACTGCACCTTCAGTCTAGTCGTGCTCATGAACTAGCACGGCCACTCTTTGGTCGCGTTCAGTGAGAAACCGAACCGACTGGCGACTCACATGGTACCGTTTAGTTAAGTGACAGACATAGAGGTTCATATGATTGCTGGTGATAAATATGCTGGCTGCAAAGCACGTGCAAATAAGAGTACATGCAAAGCGCGCAACAAAGTCATAAACAATGCAGCCAGGCTATGACAAATAGAAAAGAGACCCTCTAGAAAGATTTTCTAAGTTCTTAAGTCTTACCCAAAGGCGTCCCGGGGGGGGGGGGGGAGGGGCTAGAAAGAGAGGCTCAGCCCGTCGACTGGTCCCAGAAGTCAACACGATGGTGTCTTCCCCCACCTTCCCCTCTTCCCGGGCTATTTTTATACTATTTTTTACCTTTGAGGTGGAGTTTGAGTGCCTCTCGTCATAAATACCTTTCTTAGGATTGGTGTAGAATTCTCTCGCCGCACATTTAAAGGTACAGATTACAAAAACTCACGGCGCAGACTCAAAGAGGGGTGGGCGCACCTTGGAGGCGGGTAGCCTTTGGGACGGAGGTGTGGTTTGGTCTTATAATGACATTCTAAAGAGCAAAGTTTGCACAAAGGACAGCGTTTCATCCAAATCCGACGGGATGTTGGCTCGGGGTGGCCAGGGCGCAGCTTCTCAGTTCTGTGGTACCACCCCGTTCCCGTACCTGCTGTACCATCCCGGGGAGAGACCGTGGGCTCTCCAGCCCACCTCGCCCCCCGTGGTGCTCTGCAAGCAATATCGTCCCGGGAATCGCAGATGACCTGGTGGATTCTTCGCATACCAGCTGCAGCCGCATTTTACCCTCGACGCTATTTTGATTTCATACCTTTCCTTCCTGCGTGAACGACGCTGTATTTTGGTCGTTTTAGTAATTAGTCCACACCCGTGCGTCCCTGGGTGGCCCCGTGTCACAAAGGGGCTGTGATGCGGCACCCGCCCGGCGATTGTGATCTCACCGGGCCAGGGCTTGATCTCCTGAGAAGCCGGCCAGCGAAAGCCAGTCGGGCTGAGCCGGCCTTCGGGGTAACGGCTCCTTCCCTGGCTGCTTGCGTGCCTCCTTTGCACCAAGCAGTTCCCGGGTGCTGCCCTCTTCTCCTCAAGTGCCATCCTCTTTCAAAGGTAATTACGAGTTGACTTTCAGGACAGATCATACGAGTAGGTTAGAGACGGGATAAAAGTACCCAAGCGGCCTTTGGAATTGCCGGCAGTTGGAGTCCTGTGACAGGGACAGTAGGGCCAGCAGCCTGCAGCTCTGCAGCAGCTGCAAGTACCCCTGACACGCTTCTGATGGCGGAGGCTGTTCTGTGGGTTTCCTTTGGGGTTTTCGAAATTCATTCTGTTGAGCTACAATTATGTCTTTGCAATCAGGGACGGGCGCTGCTCTTCTCTGTCTGGAGAGCAGCCTGACGTCCTTTGTCACCCCAAGCTCTCCCCTGTGTTGCTGAGAGGAGCGATGGCCGCAATGGGGAACGACTCCTGTCAGTAGCGGCTTCACCAGCCCGTTTGGATTTTGGGAATGCCCAAAGGCAACGGACGTGGCCGGTGCTCCAGCCCTGGGTGTTGCTGTGCTGACAGCCTAGAGTGAATTTTGGGGCCTTGCCTGGTAGCAGCCAGACTTACCCCAGTGGTCTGGATTACACACAGTAAAACACATTTTATCACCGCCCCCGCCCCTAGTACAAGGCTTCGAAAGCTGTCGTTGCTCGTAGAGAGAGCTGACATCTGCCGGGTTGCCTCCTGGGCTGAATACTTGCTTGTTTTCACCGAGTCACCATCAGGAAAAGGGAAAACTTGAGCTGTTCAAGACCCGAGAGGGAAAGCAAGTTAGCCCGAGGCACAGAAGATTCAGAGTGTGGGTTTGTTTGCTGGACTTTCGGCAAAGTCAGCAGTGGAACGGATTATTTTCCACAACTGCTCCTTGACCAGTAAATTTCACAGGCAGCATTAGGCTTCCCCCAGTGTTTCTGGGTTGGATGGAGATCTGGTCGTACTGGGTGCCCCTGCAAAGAACTCGACTTCTGGACCTGCTTTCGTGCAACAATACCGTCTCCTCTCTTTTCAAATGTCATTTCCCTGCAGTCACTGTCGAGGGAATGGAGCCGTCACAGAGGATCCACTTTCCCCGGGACGAGATTTGCATGGACTGGAAGCAACAACAGGAAGCTGGAGGAGGGCTCTACAACCTGGGGAACATGTGCTACCTAAACTCTGTCCTGCAGTGCCTGGCATACACGCCCCCTCTGGCCAACTACCTGCTCTCTCGGAAGCACGGCCAGTCGTGTGAGTGCTTTTACGAAATATCTCCTTGGAACTTGGTCGGGCGCTTCCCAGGGATTCCCAGAATCTGGGAGCTGGTTTAGGTGAAAAGCAGCCCTTCTTTGTCAGTCCTCAAGTGGGTGTTCTTGGAACACTCATGCTGAGAAGACACGTGTCCTACCTAGGTGTGATCATCTTCAGAAAGGCACCTCTTCCTAGCCCCGGGTCTTGGTCCCTATTCCTGCAGCTCAAACCCTCTTTCCTTACTGCACAGGAAACTTATGTCAGTTTAGTGTCCCCCTGAAGAATGTTTTCTGCGCGCTAAAATGTCCTGAGCTTGCTGGGACATTGGCACCTTGGGAGGAGTGGAGACTGTTCTTATAACTGCAAGATCTCCATCAGGTTTCCTGTGGCTATGGGTATTTTGCTAACCCGAGTATCTTCCTTCCCTCCCTCCCTCCCTCCCTCTGCAGGTCACCAGAAAGGCTTCTGCATGATGTGCAGAATGGAAGCGCACGTTAACAAGGTCATGCATTCCTCAGGCAGCGCCATCGAGCCTTGGTCTGTCGTCCGTGTTCTCACACGTAAGTCCTTTCAGGTGCTTTTACAGGTTTTTTTTTTTTTTTCCATTCTTGTAGGAGAGAACTACTAACTTCCTCTTTCTTAGGAATAGGAGAACATTTCGAGCTCGGCAGGCAGGAAGACGCCCATGACTTCTTACGCTGTATTGTCGATGCCATGCAGAGAGATTGTTTGAGCTGGAGCAGCGAGTAAGCGCAAACAAATTACCTTTTCAATGTTCCCGAGCCCTTTGGACACCTTGATGTACTGCCATCAAGGAAACCCTATGCCCAGGGCTCTTAGAGAAAGCAAACCACTTGGAGGAGATAACTCTCTGCCTTACCATTTATTTCCAGCTTGGACTTCGCTTCTCAATCAACTACCATTGTCCGTCAAATATTTGCGGGCTTTCTGAGATCCAGAGGTACTTTTCCACAACTATTGCTCTCCGCAGAATTGTCTGTGTCCCTCTGCCTGCCTGTGATAACAGCTGATCGTGAGGCTGGTACAATTCCTAACCGGTAGTTAGGAAGGATGTAAACCGGCAGAGTCAGTTGACTTCCCCTACCACTGACCATTTTGATTTGCCTTCCAGTCACGTGCTTGAGCTGCAGCGCGGTCTCCGATTCCTACGAGCTCTTCCTGGATATTTCACTGGATATAAAAGTAAGAGGCTTGGCAACTGTGCTTCAAGACGTCCCAAGGCCCCTGTAGCTTTCCGGAGTCAACAGGGATGACTGAAAAGTGCAAACTGCAAACAGAAGAGAGCTGGGTGGTGGGTGGGGTGTGGAATGGACGAGCACGCATTATCCTCTCTGCACCCTCGATAGACTCTCATCCCTCTTCCTTTTGCCCTCCCTCAACACCCATCTGGCTCCAAGGCTGATGGGTTGTGTTGTTTTCATTACCGATGACCCTCCACACCATCGGGAGCTGAACTGAGCGGCGGCGCAGGCACGTAGCTCTTGACAGCCCCAGGAATCCCGGGGAAATGAGGGCAATGTCGACCATAATACCCTCTTTCTGCCCCATCCTGGACACTGCCTGGGGGTTCGCAGTGGCTCTCCTCAGCGTCATCTAGTTGGGTTTTTGTGTAAACTCCTAGTGAGTGCTTGGGCGAGGGTATTTCCCGCAGCTCAGCGCTCTCCTTTCTCACTCCTCCAGGCAGCCTCATCTGTCACCGCAGCTCTGGAGGAATTTGTGAGACCTGAGCAGCTGGATGGCGAAAACTCCTTTAAATGTAGCCAGTAAGATGATTACTAACAACATCTTAGTACTAGATCCTGTGTGAAGCTGCTGCGTGTCGTCCATCATAAGTCACCTTGTCTCATAGGCTTAATGGACGATAATGAGACACAGCACTTTTTCGTATGGCCTTATGGTACTGAATAGCCTTAAAATAGCGTAAGGCTGTGTGAGACAGGAGAGCTTGCCTGGCCTTCTGGGGCAAGGCAGGGTGCCTTTCAGCACTGGGCTCTGGGCTTGGTTTCAAGGTGCGACAGGATGGTTGCCGCCTCCAAGAGATTCACCGTCCATCAAGCACCCAGGGTTCTCACTGTTTGTTTGAAAAGGTTTGACGATTACACCGACAGGAAGATCAGCAAGGTGCGTACGCAACTGGAGTGCAAGTTTCCCTTCCTGGAGCAGGAGATGGCCCAAAGCAGTGCTCTCATGTTGCCTTTTTCATGTTTCCTTCTGGGGAGAGGAGGGCTCCCGCGGGAGACAAGCGTGTACTCTGCTCCGACAGAGCTGCTTTGGCTGACAACAGTTTCCTGCCACCCAAAGGCATTGCTTTAGGGAAAACCGAGTGTTCATGAGCCCCAGAGATGTTTTTAGACACCTCCGGCCCCTGCTCTTTGAGGGCTGTTTGGTGTAGCATTTCAGGATCGTTTCGGAGCCCTCTTGGTCTCTCCGTAGGTCGTGAAGTATCCCGAGTATCTGGATCTTCACCCCTACATGTCGCAGACCAGTGGAGAACCGCTCCTCTATTCCTTATATGCTGTGCTGGTACACAGTGGTGGCAGCTGTCAGTCAGGACACTACTTCTGCTACACAAAGGTAAAGAGCAACTTCCTTCCAAACACGGGAAAAATGTGTGCTGGGGAAGACAAATTTGCATGGCAAGGTTACTGGCAGCCAAGGTTTTGGGGAAGAAGGTCTCCTTAGGGGCTGGAGTGGATCTGGTTTGATGTACCCTTGCTGGTTCTGTAGTTTTCTGCCTGTGTTTTTCTGGAGAAACCATGCAGTTCATCTCCAGGTATCAATGCCTTTCTTCACAGGCCAGCAACGGATGGTGGCACAAGATGGACGATGACTCTGTGTATCGTTGCAGCATCAACACAGTTCTTAGGCAGCAAGCCTACTTACTGTTTTATGTCAGGTAAAAACAATCACAAAAAGTGTTTGGAATACCTTTCCTTTTCCTGGCTCTGCTTTTTTTTCTTCTCAGCCTCTTTCTGTTTCCCTTTCTGTGCTTCTCTTTCTGTCATAGGAGTCATTCCTACCTGCATCCTTCAGTGCTGTCAAATCTGACCTAACCCACGCCAGTCCTTGTCTTTCCCTGCTGGGCTTTAGGCTGCTGCCCTGGTGTAAACTGCTACCTGTCTGCTATCTGAAGCTGTCCAATGTAGATGTCCTGGTTTTGGCTGGAATAGAGTTAACGTTTCTTCTTAGTAGCTAGAATAGCGCTGTGCTTTGGCTTCAGGGTGGGGTTTGGTATGAGAAGAACGCTGATAGCCCACTGATGTTTTCAGTTGTTGCTGAGACATCAAGGACTCTCCAACTCCCCGTGGTGTCCTGCCCGTGGGCAGGTGCACAAGAAGCTGGGAGGGAGCACGGCCAGAGCACCGGACCCAAACTGGCCAAGGGAATATTCCCTGTCATGTAATGTTATGCTCAGTATAGAAAGGAGGGGCGGCCAGGAAGAGGGGGGCTCTCCTGGCTTCCGGGATTGCCGTTGGGTAGCTGCTGAGCAATCACATTTTGCATTGCCCATTTGTCATTTCTGGTTTTGTTATTTTTTCATTTTATTACAATTTCTAAACTTTTTTGTGTCAGCCTATGAGACTCCCTTGACCCCTTCAAATCCCTCCTCCATGCCTGGGGGCAGGGAAGGGAGGTGAGCGGCTGCATGGTGATTGACTGCCGGCCAGGTTCAAGTCACGACAGTAGAGGAGAATACTTAAAAGTACTGGAAAGATGGGGAGGGACTCTTTATCAGGGAGCGTGGCGACAGGACAGGTGGTCATGGTTTTAAACTACAGGAGGCTAGATTTCAATTAGTTGTAAGGAAGAAATTAAATTCTTCACTGTGAGAGTGGAGAGGCACTGGAAGAGGTTTTCCAGAAAAGTTGTGGCTAACCCCTCCCTGGAAGTGTTCAAACCAGGTTGGATGGGGACTTGAGCAACCTGGTCTAATGGAAGATACCTCTGCCTGTGGGAGGGAGGGAGTTGGAATTAGACGTTCCTTAAGTTCCCTTTCAACCATCTTATGACCCTATGATTCTCTGAAATGGAGACTGTCGGGGGTATAAAGACAAGGTCTTGTTTTGACTCCAGTGGAGTTTCCCACTGTCATCTTGGGTATGTCTTCTCTCTGTTGTAGAAACAGCTCCAAGAAAATGACAGAACCCCAGAGGAGGTGCTCGGATTTGCAAGCTGGACAAAGGGATGATTCCCCACCGGCACCGTCCTATGCCGATTCCTTCCTCAGTCGGTGGGCGGCTGGCAACGAGCAGGTGGGTTCTGTGGGACCACAGGCTCTGCCTCGTTGGAGCGAGGCAACTGCGGGGAGGTGGGTCAGGGCACCAGATGGGCAGTGGGTTTATTTCTGGGATCTCTTTTGCCTCCCACAAACTGCAGCTTTCTTGAAGACACTTGCAGCACTGCTCCCTCTCCAAGCATCCCACCTAGATCCATCCCCTTTCTTCACCTTTGGCCCTTCTGCCTTTGCAGCCCTCCAGGAGAGCCTTTGGGAGGCCCTTAGCTGTCCCCTCCCACCGCTCCTGGGGCTTCCCCACGGTTCTGGTCCTTTCAGGAGGAAAGGGCAGGACCTATTCACAGCTCTCTCTGCAGGCCATGGAGGTGGACAAGGAGGATTCTCCAGAGGACAGCGGCTCCTCCGCACCAGCCAGCACCAGCCAGCTGACCTGGGCAGGTGCCCAGCAGGCATCGGCAAGCTGGCCGTGCCACGACTGGCCACACAGGCTCAGCACGGCCTCCTACGTGTCCAGGAAGCAACCTGACACCCTGGTCTGCAGTCAACCATTGGACCACGTGCTGCACGCCGTGCAAGAGTACGACAACAAAGAGGAGCACGGATTCAGCCAGAGGGAGGAGGCCAGGGGGAGGGACCGGAGCAGATCCCCGTGGCGGGGCTATGATCTGCGCAGCCGGTTTGTAGAGTACAAGGAGTATCCCCGCTCAGCGAGGAGGAGGAGGTGGTGGAGAGCAAGTCCTCCACCTCATGACGAAGCTTCAAGGGATGAGGGAGCTCCAGGACCCTCCAACACCAGGTCCAAGGTGGCTCCCGCAGCCAGGGCTGCTTGTGAGCAAACCCTGCCGAGGCAGAGAGGACAGAGCGGATCCCTGTGGTGGGGTTATGATCTGCGCAGCCGGTTTGTAGAGTACAAGGAGTATCACCGCTCAGCGAGGAGGAGGAGGTGGTGGAGAGCAAGTCCTCCACCTCATGACAAAGCTTCAAGGGATGAGGGAGCTCCAGGACCCTCCAACACCAGGTCCAAGGTGGCTCCCGCAGCCAGGGCTGCTCGTGAGCAAACCCTGCCGAGGCAGAGAGAACAGAGCGGATCCCTGTGGTGGGGTTATGATCTGCGCAGCTGGTTTGTAGAGTACAAGGAGTATCACCGCTCAGCGTGGTGGAGGTGGTGGTGGAGAGCAAGTCCTCCACCTCATGACAAAGCTTAAAGGGATGAGGGAGCTCCAGGACCCTCCAACACCAGGTCCAAGGTGGCTCCCGCAGCCAGGGCTGCTCGTGAGCAAACCCTGCCGAGGCAGAGAGAACAGAGCAGATCCCTGTGGTGGGGTTATGATCTGCGCAGCCGGTTTGTAGAAGCCACAGACCACAGGAGGTGGAGGTTTTCAGTGCCCCAGAGACCCCGGTCAGACAAACACTTGGGTCAGTGCGGTGGTAACTGGGACAGATCGTTGCCCTGCGTGAGGGCAAACCACAACTTCTGACTTCTGCAAGGCCGGAATGGAGGAGGAGGTAAAGGAATCCGGGAAACACCCAAACTGCGCCCGGCAGGGACCAGGCTGCACAACGGACACCAGCAGCCCACCCTGTCCATCCTCCCAGTGCTGCCTCTGCCCAGGGGGAGCTCCGAGAGACTCTCCAGAGACTCGGGCAGCTCTGCCGGCTGGCCCCCCTGCCCACGGCTCCCTCGAGGAAGAGTTTTAATCCGTGTTCCGCGTTTGGGATCGCCTTGGGAACCAACAGGCAGAAAAGCCAAAGCTAGAATTAAAGCCTGTGCTTTCTTGCTGAGGGCTGGTCTCGAGGGCTCTCTGGTGCTCGTCCGTCGTCTTCCTCACCGTGTCCGCTGGTTGACCTCAGCGCTCACGCACGCTCACAAAGGTCTTCTGGGGGTGGGGGGCAGCTGTGCAACTGTGCGTGTCTTGAGCTGGTTTGTTTCACTTTGTACTGGCCTTTTTCCGGCTGTCTTTAAGAACAGGCCTCATCTCATTTATTAATTCTCTATCTTCAGACTCCCTTTTCTTTACAAAAGTGCCATACGACCTTTGTGTCCCCCCATATCTCCCTGTCCCTTGTGTCCCCATGTCCACCCAAAGGCCTATGTCCCACCACCCCACCCTGTGTCTCCAAAGCCCCCCACGGCCCCACATCCCCTCCCATGGCCCCACATCCCTTCCCAGTGTCCCCAAGCCCACCCAGATGAAGGTGCAGTTGACCTCCTGCACTTGTGCCATGCTGGTGCAGAGCAACATGTCCCCTCCACGTCCCCACCCCACGTCACTCAATATGTCCCCACATCCCCACCCTATGTCCCTGTGTCCCTCCTCAGGTCCCCACACCCCCACCCTGTCTCCAAGCCCACCCAGGTGAAGGTGTAGTTGCGCCCTCCTGCACTTGCACCATGTGGGTGCAGAACAACGTGTCCTCTCCACGTCCCCCTCCCCTGCAAACAGGGTCCAGTGGTTGTCCCTGTCAGGACAAAGTCAGAGATGGCGGCTCACGGTGCACGTCACGATGGCAGCAATGAGCTCATGGAGCTTGG